ATATATATATATATATATATATATATACAGTATATATGTGTGTAGTCAAACTTTTAAATATCACACCCAAGATGGCAATCCAATTTTGTTTTTATGTAAACCGATACTATATCACTAATCACAGCTATGTAATACATACAGTGTCCAACCAACACAAAATGGAGTATGATATGATTGCCATGAAGGTGATTGAGAAGCAGGCGTGCTGGGGGCGGAGTTACTCACCCGTGGGCTGCTGAGAGGGCTGGTGGAGAGACCAGAGGACGCGCCGCTGATGGACCGTGACCTGCGAGGACACAGACCATAAAACACACGGTCAGACGCCGCTTACAGCTGAGAGGGGACAGGAAGTGAGAACAGGGTGCTGATGAACACACGCAACTGTAGAAACAACAAGAGCAAATCTCATCTCTCATTCTCAGAGATTAAGTAAAATCAAGCTTTATACGTATTTAATAAATATTAAATTGCTGTTCATTTTGAACTTCTTTTTCATCAAAGAACCTAAAAAAAACTGAATCATGGTTTCTGCAAAAACATTAAACTGAAGGATCATGTGACACTGAAGACTGGAGTAATGATGCTGAAAATTCAGCGTTGTATCACAGGAATATATTTAATATATACAGTATTCAAATATTTTAGTATTCAAGTATTTTAAATTGTAAGAATATTTGACAGTTTTACTGTTTTTACTGTGTTATTAATTGAAGAAATGCAGCCTTGATGAGCAGAAGACACTTCTTTCAAAAACATGAAAAAATCTTACTGACTCCAAACTTTTGAATGTATAACATGCATAAAATGTATGATTTTGCCCCCATGACAATAAATACTGTTTTTATAAAAAATATTGCATTTGCAGGAAACACTTCAGGTGATTAACTAGATAAAATACAGATAGTTATTGTTATTTAATCCAGTTGTGGCTTATGGAGTCTAATATTAATATTAATATTAATTATATTATTAATGATAGTTTAGAAACTCCAAATACTTTTATATATATATATCTTCAGGCATAGTTGCGTCATTCTGAGCTGTAACTGTTTGGGTTTTTTTGACAGCAGATGCCCACACAGATACAGATCGAACATTTCAATTATCTTCAAGAATGAAGCACATTCATTATCAGCTCACTGTCTGTCTTCATCAGCACAGAGAGCCGCCCAACACAAATCTCAGCAGCTGTTCTTTCACTCTCATGCATCCTTCTCATCCCAGCACTCCTCAGTCTTTTCTGACATACTCGTCTTTCCCCTTACAAACAATGCGCCACTGTACGGTGATATATCTGACTGTCATTTTTTAGGTTTAAATCAACAAAAGATTTAACTTCTCCACCAACATTCATCTTGTGTTTTCTCTCCACATTCTTATCACTTTTGCCACTGTGAATCTTGATCTCTGTCCCTGCGTCTCTCTGAATCTCTAATCCAGGTCAGTTGTCAGGTCTGTTTGGGATAAAAGCAGCCCCCTCGGCCCTAAAGCACTGAGCCGGACAGCGGTCTGATCTGAGGCCCTAAAAAACAGGGTAAGCTTCACTAAAAACAACACATGCCGTTGTGTCAGCAAGAGCCAATGTTTTGAGCAAGGGACATACAGAAAGTGATCACAAGAGAAAGAAAAAACACTTAAAGAAAGAAAGGTTAAAGTGACAGTTCACTGAAAATGAATGGCAGAATTTTTATTTCTGAAAATTTGCTGTTAATTTACTCACCCCTCAGGCCATCCAAAATGTAGGTGCCTTTTTTGTCTTCAGTAGAACAGTAAAGATTTTTAGCTGAAATCGTGGTCTTTGGTGATTCATTTAATGCAAGTCAGCAGCTACCATCACTTTGAGAGTCAAAAAAGCATATCAAGGAACACAAAATGAATGCCTGTGGCTCCTGACGATATACTGAGGTCTTACGAAGTGAAACGATCGGTCTGTGCAAGAAACTGAACATTATTTACAACATTAACTGTTATACTGTATATACTGTTCTAATCAAGAAAAAAGTCACATACATCTTGGATGGCCTGAGGGCGAGTAAATTAACAGCAAATTTTCATTTCTGGGTGAACTGTCCCTTTAAGATAAATGTTAAAATGGATGTTTATATTTAAATCAATAGGCTCAGCTGAAACCTCTCTTGTGTGGGAGTCTAGGGTGAATAGAGACGCTATGATGACTGTCAGATGGCTAGACAGAATCCAGCTAATGCTAATTTTAGTTATGATTTTATTTTGGAGTTATACAGGGGTGAGTGGAGACAGACAGCACATGGCTTACTGATATACGCATAACAGCATATGCAATGCATAATTTGCTAAACCTATATATTTAGATGTAAAAGGCATTAGATGGTGACTAATCAGAGCATTATAATCTTTGTTTACAGGTAAATCATCACTATAAAAAGACAAAAAATTAGTTACACAACTAAATGATTATTCAAATGAATCAGTTAATAATTTTTGGAGGCAGTTTGTTTAAAAAATTTACTTAAACTATTTACTATTATATTTACTAAAATTGAAGATAGACTTATGTTAACATAACATGATTTTTGACCTAAATCAACAACATAAAAACTCACTTTTCTTGCTCATGTACTTTCCATTTCAAAAAACTCGCTCCTTCCCACATGCTTCATCACACAGATCCAACTTTTAAAAATTACATTTCAAAGTCTCTTTTTAGTCTGACTCACACTGATCTCAAGCCTTTTAAAGTCGATAAACAGCACACAAACACAAATGATGCAACATAAAGTCTGTTTCTGAGGTCGTTTCTAGTTTTAAAAAAAGCACTATTTTAGTAGGTATTAAATCATGATACAGAAACAAGTTTGGCACCAAAAAAAAAAAAAAAACACTAAATAACAAACACCAAACAAAAATAAAAAACATAAAAAATAAATAAAACACACTCAAAGAAAAAAAATACAAGACATAAAACAAAAATAAAAAAACAAAAACAAGAAAAAACAAAAACACATGCACACACAACAGACAAGACACAAAACAAAAATAAAAACACAAACACACAATAAACAAACAAAATAAAACAGAACATAAAAAAACAAAAGACACAAAATAAAAACAAAACAAAAAGTAGAACAACAAAACAAACAAAAAAAAACACAACAAAACAAAGACAGAACACAAACAAATAAAACAAAGAACAAACACACACACACACACAAACAAGACAAACCAAAAAACAAAACAGGAGAGAAACACACACACACACACATAAAGGACACAAAAATAAATACACAAAAAACAGAACAAAACTAAATAAAACTAAACACAAAAAAACTAAATAAAAAACACGATAACAAAAATAATAAAACAAAACAACAACAACAAATTTAAATTCAAGACTACACTAAAGATGAGTTGTATATGACTATGCCATTACATATAAGGTAATGTAATGGCATCTAAAATCACAGCTAAAAACTGGAAAACTGTGTGTGTAATCTATTTATATATCTACTGCAAACAGAAGTAAAGATGCAGAGAGTTTCCTGTCATTTCAGAACACCTTGACCTTCTTAAGCTTGAACAATGATTATTGACTCATTAATTCATTGCCAAGAGTTTTTATTTTATTTTATTTTTTACCAAAAATGGTCAACTAAACGTTGATAACCACTGGAATTAAACGCGTGTAATGAATTAATAGGACAAATATAATGTAATTTGACAACAATCTAGCATAATTCTTTTTGAAATTGTTTTGTTGTTTGTACTAATTCACATTATTATTATAATTGTTAAGTAGAAAGTGCTCTACTAGCATATAGTGCATTTAGTATGCATTTAGCAGTTGCTAATATCCCACTGAACACAGTCAGAGCGAGACTCGTCTTTCTTCAGATATGCGGCTGCTTCCTTCTGAAAGGCAATCGACTTTGAATATTCAGATCCGAGTCCTATCAAAACCTGAATGAATTAATAATAATTAATTCCCTACAGTTAAAATTAAGTAATCAAAGTCATTACAGTAATTTGACAACAATCTAGCATAATTCTTTTTGAAATTGTTTTGTTGTTTGTACTAATTCACATTATTATTATAATTGTTAAGTAGAAAGTGCTCTACTAGCATATAGTGCATTTAGTATGCATTTAGCAGTTGCTAATATCCCACTGAACACAGTCAGAGCGAGACTCGTCTTTCTTCAGATATGCGGCTGCTTCCTTCTGAAAGGCAATCACAGTGAAATCCTCAGGTGGCGTATGTGTCAGTCTCAGGTCGTCTCCTGTCAATTCCTCATTTCAATCCTGCCATCAGATACGTCTGGCCATTTGAGTGGGAATGATAGGAGTGTAATGAAATTGAGTTTTGAGATGAATTGGAGGAATGAGACCTACTTTGTTATGATACAGTGGAAGGTGAGGGTTCAAAGTTTACGTGGAGAAATGGAAGTGAAGAGAGCGGAGACTAAAATAAATTCATTCACGGTAAGGCTGCAAGGTGATGCTTCAAGAGAGATGGCATAACATCGGATATACCAAGAGGTTTTATATGCTGTAAGCTACTTAATTTAATGATATACATCTGAGAAATCCAAAGAGAGTTTCTGGACCCTTGACAGAGCCTCGATTCACAAACTATATGTTGTTTAAATAAAAAAAAATATATATTTTTTTTATACTGTCACATTTACTATTTAAATTATTTTATTAAAATATATTTTAAAAGGAAATGCTAAGCAGGTGTAGCTTTTAGCATTGTATGAAATGTTTCAAATAATATATTTTCGGCCTGATTTCATGAACAATTCATATACAATCAGAATTTTTTTTTTATTCTTTTGTTCACTTAAAAAGTAAATTTTTTTTCTAGCTTTTTTGGTAACTGAAAGCAGAACCGACTGAAAGAAAGAAAGAAATCTGAACTAAAATAAATAAATATTACAAAACAAAAACAAAAAACTTAATAAAACACTGCCTTGACAACTAACTGAAATATGATTTATTGGAAGTACTAAAAATACTAAAACAGAAATATAAATACATTTGTAAACAGAAATAATAAAAATCAATAATAAAGAAACAAAAAAACACAAAATTACTAAAGCGTATGCAAATATAAAATAACATTTAAATGAATACTGAAAATATAAAAATAAAAAGCTAATTCAAATTAATAAACATTATAATAGCATATAAATAATACTGCAATACTGCATCAGATCATAAAATCAGTTTCATTTGAAATACTAAAATGACAAAAAAATGAAATATAAACAAATGAAAGCAAAATAAAACATTAAAGAAAAATTTGCAATATATAAAACATAAAAAACTTAAAATTAAAGAAAAAAAGAAAAATATTAAAAAAGCTAATTCAAAATATTCATAAATACTACTAAAATAAAACTGCGTCACATCATAAAATTAGGTTCATATAGTATGACATCTGATAATATTGTAAATATTTACTGTACAAATGAAAATGAGTACTTTGTATTATTTTACAGTTAAAATCTAAATATACAACCAAAAAAAAAATCATAAACATAAACTTACCAAAGAAGCAAGACTGCATGAAATAATAAGGCTCAGAATATATCATGTTTCATATTAATTTAACATGTTTCATATTAATGAATACCACTTTTTTCAGTTGCTTATAATGTAAATTTTGTGATATTCACCGTTTGTGACAGTACTCTGATATTGTATCAAGACGCAATTTATGGCAACGTTGTTTGTCCTAAAGTACTTCACCATCAGCAACATATTACATTTTTTATATTTAGTAGAAGTATGCTAATTAGCCTTCAGCAAGTTTGTTTTCAGCATGAAGTTCAAACTCGCATATCATAACACTAAGCAGCCCTAAAGTGTGTTGAGATGGTTTGAACTAAATGATTCTTTCAGTCGATTATTGCAGACAGAAGTCTCTCTGGAAAGCTCTGGACAGGAAAAGCATCTCTGCATCTTTGAGGACTAAAGCTCTGGAGGTCAGAGGTCGGCTGGTACCTTTCCTCTTTGCTCTTTGCTTTGCGTTTGGCATCCGAGATATCCAAGCTTTTACTGAACGTGCTTTGACTGCAGCGGGAGACAAATCCAGCGAACAGTGAGTCTCTGAACACTGAACTAACGGCTCTAGAGAATAAAGGACAGCGTACAATATATACGTATAATACGTACAAAGTATTTCTCCCATTCGTTTGTATTTCAGATAGCTTTTTTTTAGAAAGACAACCCCAAATTTGAAGCGTCACATAAAGAATGGAGTTTAAAAAGGTTGAGTTGAGAAAAAAAAGCGAGTGATTGGTGAACGAGAATGTGTTTTTTCTCAAGCCTCACAGCGGCGTTTCTCAAAACAAACACAATGACAAACAGCCGGAGGGGCCATGAAATAAAAAATATAAAAATATAAAAAAATCTTAAAAACAAAAAAGTTACAATTATAAAAATAATTTCAACTCGTCCCTTAGTTTGTAAATAAAAAGAAATTAAACTATCAGTCAGTTTAGAATAATTACGATTTTATCAAATGTTTTTTGTAAGAAGTCTCTTATGTTCAACAAGGCTGCAATTATTTGATCAAAAAAATACAGTAACAATTTCTTACTTAATTACTTATTTATTTGATTTGACTTACCCTAAAGTTTTGAATGGTATTGTATCACAGTTTCCATAAAAATAGTAAGCAGCGCAACTTTTCATCATTGATAATAATCAGAAATGTTTCTCGAGCAGAAAATCTGTATTTTAGAATGATTTCTGAAAGATCATGTGACACGAGATTTGATCACAGAAATAAATGACATTTTATAATATATATTCACATAGAAAACAGTTATTTTATATTGTAATAATGTTTCACAATCTTACTGATGTTACTGTATTTTTGTTTAAATAAATGCAGCCTCAATGAGCATAAGAGACAGTGGAAGTCCTCATGAATGTTGATGGATGGATGGAAACGGAGAATATCAGCAGTGTGTGTGTGTGTGTGTTTTCTGCACCTCTGTCCGTGTTGTGTCATGTCGATGGCTCGTCGTGCCGGTACAGGTGAACCTCCATCCGTAACGCTCAGCACCTCCATAGACTTCCTCTCCGGCCTCCTCTTCCCGTGTCTGTTCAGCATGGGTGAGTCGACACGCTTCCGCGGGGGATCTGCACACACAGACACAGACACACAGACACACAGACACAGACACAGACCCCACAAAGCAGTGGTCTATAAAGCCGGTCTCAATGCCACTTCTGATTGTGAATTAATCATTAGCACCAGCGCCTGCTGCAATTAATGCATTTGTTAAAGCACTGAGCGCATTTCAGTGAACCGAATTTGCACTGACTACTGGCCTGGAAAAAAAAATAAAAAAACTTTTAATCAAATCAAATCTTTCTAAAGCTACTTTTTGTAATGTGTATTTGATGCTTTTCTCATTTAACACAATAATGACTTTAAATTATATTTTAGGGGTAATTTCACAGCCAAATTTGATGTTAATTTGATTAATTAATTGCCACATCATGTAATAATTAGATGACATTAGACATTATATACAGACATTATATATGTTTATATACATTTTTTCAAATGTATATTATTCATAATAATTTATAATTAAATGTTTTATTTTTATTTAAAAATGACACAAAAAATTCTATAAATAAATAATAAATTAAAAATGATATATATAAACATACAACGTAATAAAGATAAAGTATATAAGATACACTTCTGTATTAATTTTTGGTTTCATTATTCAGAGTGATTGTTACCTATATCGTTGCGAGGAGGGAGGTTCTGGTCTTCATGGCTGGGGTATCTCTCCTTACGATCCAACAGAAGGAAGTAGATCATCTTTTCCTGATTCTCACTGATGAGACAGGGGGACAAGAAACAGCCATTTATCAACAAAAAAAAAAAAAAAAAATGCCAAATTCCCTTTTTTTGCCTTCTAGCCAGCTGAAAGAACTGTTTAATAGATCTGACAGAAGCTATAAAGACCAAACTAACGGATCACTCACTCGTCCGACAGCAGGTCCTTCATCAGCTTGTTCTTGTCCCGGAAGCAGCCCAGCGAGTGCATGCTCTCCAGGACGTCCGGGTCGATGTCGTCGGCTGACGGGACGCTGCGGATCGCCACCTTCCTGGGCACCGGCTGCTCCGGCTCCGGCTCGTTCTTCCCTCCTCTGAGGAGAGCAGAAGCAGTCAGTGCCACTGACACACCACACACCCAACAACAACACAAGCTCCATCACACAAAACACACAGAGAAACTGTGATCCTTACTAATCATTTCCAGTGCTAGAGAAAACATGGATTGACTAGACGTGACCTTATCACTAATTAAATGGACTGTCATTTCTTAACTTTTGCTCCCATCAATATAAATATGCTGCCTATTTGACATGTGGATTGATATTGCAGAACGGGGCAAAACTTGTTACTTTACTTTGCTTACTTTCTTACGTCCCACTGCAACAAGCATGCCAAAAATAAAGCTTTTTTTTGTAAATTATAGTGGTAAATTAATCATTTTACTTCTGTAGTGCAACATACTTCTGTGTGAATGCTGGATATTGGCTATTAGATATATAATTAGATTAGATAATATGAATTGATGTTAATATAAATAATTAACATATAATAAGTATAGTGGGTGTTTATTAAATTAAATAAACTGAATATTTTTATATTTTCCAAAACATTAAAGGGGTCATATGATGCGATTTCAAGTTTTCATTTCTCTTTGGAGTGTTACAAGCTGATTGTGCATAGATAAGATCCCTGAAGTTGCAAAGACTAAAGTCTCAAAACCAAAGAGATATTCTTTATCAAAGTTAAGACTCTGCCACGCCCCCCTAAAACGGCTCATTCTAACACGCC